TTATAAAACATTCAGCCACAGCAACTGCTGGATACACAGAAACTACCAAGTAGACATCAGAAAAGTTCAGTAAAAGTTGATTCTGTTCCCACTGAATGATTTCTCTCCTCTTTTAAAGTAGTTTCCTCTACTTCTCACTTTAACATGAATTATTATTAGATTATTCTAGGACAACAGGAACATTATGAGGGTTATATATTATAATATTTACAGTCGTTGATCTTCAATAAAATAAAGTTGATTGAACTTCAGTGTCAGTGTGGATACAACAGATACAAGTGACAGAAAAGATGAATGTGACTAAACTAAAGAGGTTTTAATGATGTTCACAGCTTCATCAATATATTATGTGTGAAAGAATCTTTATGAGGTTAACAGATTATACTCACTGATCGTTCAGCCACTCCTCCCTGCAGAAAGTAATAAACAGTGTTATGAAACTCCTTCATCAGTATGAAAATAAACATTAAAAACCAAAGAAACAGGATTTTAAATATGAGAACAGTGAGTGGAAAAAGACAAAAGAGCTTCTACCTGTAATGTGTGTCTGTACTAAATGTTGATAAATGAATCAACATTTTCATCCAGTATGTTTTATCCTGCTGATATCAATATGCTGATGTCCACTAATGTTGTCCAGCTGCATGACTCAGAGATCTTTATAATTATCTTGTCTCTCGCTCTCTCTGTGTGTGTTTACAAAATGTAAATGAATGAAGTTACATTTTAATGTTCATAAAAATTTACCTGATAGGAGAGCATTCTCCTTTGAAATTAATGTCGAAATCTTTTGACTGATCACTCTTAAAGGACACACTGGATGTAATGGACTCATAGCTTCCACTGGGTCTGATTCTGGTTCTGGTGGACAAGAGAGACAGACCACCAGGGTGGTAAATTAGATTGTGATCCATCAGTCAAAACAACTGCTGGATACACAGAAACTACCAAGTAGACATCAGAAAAGTTCAGTAAAAGTTGATTCTGTTCCCACTGAATGATTTCTCTCCTCTTTTAAAAGTAGTTTCCTCTACTTCTCACTTTAACATGAATTATTATTAGATTATTCTAGGACAACAGGAACATTATGAGGGTTATATATTATAATATTTACTGTTGTTGATCTTCAATAAAATAAAGTTGATTGAACTTCAGTGTCAGTGTGGATACAACAGATACAAGTGACAGAAAAGATGAATGTAACTAAACTAAAGAGGTTTTAATGATGTTCACAGCTTCATCAATATATTATGTGTGAAAGAATCTTTATGAGGTTAACAGATTATACTCACAGTTCTTTCTTCAACTCCTTCCTGCAGAAAGTAATAAACAGTGTTATGAAACTCCTTCATCAGTATGAAAATAAACATTAAAAACTAAAGAAACAGGATTTCAAATATGAGAACAGTGAGTGGAAAAAGACAAAAGAGCTTCTACATGTAATGTGTGTCTGTACTAAATGTTGATAAATGAATCAACATTTTCATCCAGTATGTTTTATCCTGCTGATATCAATATGCTGATGTCCACTAATGTTGTCCAGCTGCATGACTCAGAGATCTATATAATTATCTTGTCTCTCGCTCTCTCTCTGTGTGTTTACAAAATGTAAATGAATGAAGTTACATTTTAATGTTCATAAAAATTTACCTGATAGGAGAGCATTCTCCTTTGAAATTAATGTCGAAATCTTTTGACTGATCACTCTTAAAGGACACACTGGATGTAATGGACTCATAGCTTCCACTGGGTCTGATTCTGGTTCTGGTGGACGAGAGAGAAAGACCACCAGGGTGGTAAATTAGATTGTGATCCATCAGTCAAAACAACTGCTGGATACACAGAAACTACCAAGTAGACATCAGAAAAGTTCAGTAAAAGTTGATTCTGTTCCCACTGAATGATTTCTCTCCTCTTTTTAAAGTAGTTTCCTCTACTTCTCACTTTAACATGAATTATTATTAGATTATTCTAGGACAACAGGAACATTATGAGGGTTATATATTATAATATTTACTGTTGTTGATCTTCAATAAAATAAAGTTGATTGAACTTCAGTGTCAGTGTGGATACAACAGATACGAAGTGACAGAAAAGATGAATGTAACTAAACTTAAGAGGTTTTAATGATGTTCACAGCTTCATCAATATATTATGTGTGAAAGAATCTTTATGAGGTTAACAGATTATACTCACATTTGTTTTCTCTTCATCTTCTTCCTGCAGAAAGTAATAAACAGTGTTATGAAACTCCTTCATCAGTATGAAAATAAACATTAAAAACTAAAGAAACAGGATTTCAAATATGAGAACAGTGAGTGGAAAAAGACAAAAGAGCTTCTACATTTAATCTGTGTCTGTACTAAATGTTGATAAATGAATCAACATTTTAATGTCAGTAAACTCTTCTTTTTAGGAGAGGAGTGTCTTTCTTTAAAATGTTTACCTCCGGTCCTACCAGCCTGTTCACCACCTACTATAATCTCATTATGTGTCTAATTACAGTGATTGGAGCTTCAAATACAGGAGATGGTTACCAATATGACACATTTCATATAGAAAGTTTAACTAACTAATAATCATGGACAATGGACATATTTTGAAGGTTATATATTATAATATTTACAGTTGTTGATCTTCAATAAAAGGAAGTTGATTTGACTTTAGTGTCTGTCAGTGTGGATACCAGTGAAATTAAATTAGTGTCAAACACTGACAAACAGCAAGTATTTGTCTAAACAGATCACACAGCAATAGCAGCGTGTTAGCTAACATAGATATTAAAGTGATAAAGTAACACAATGATGACTTACGACGGAGAACGGACGTTGGCTGATAATCCATGTCTGAATAGTAACCAGTGGTTCGCCATAGGCAAACTGAATCCTGGCCAGTTCAGCCTGTAAAACAACAACAACAAACGCACGCACGCACACACGCACGCACACACACACACACACACACACACACACACACAGGTTTGAGTAAAGATGGTGGAGAGCTGAGTGCTGATCTGTGACTCTGTGATGTAGTTCACACAGAGAGGTTTCAGAAGGAGAACCTCCTCCTCTGTGTCCTCACACTGACTCACTGCAGTAACTGCAGGTACATTAGACACAGTGAGAACAACCTACAGCGACTGTATGAGCACTCTGACTGCATCCCTTTGTGCAATAATATCTACATTTTATATGAGAACTCATTTATCACTTATACTGAGAGACCATCTGAATGTGAGATGTTACATTCTGATTTATTCTTATGACAAACTGATATTTAATTCCAGTAGCGCCCTCTGTTGGTCCACAAGGCAAACTACTTCAACCTGTCGTGTTTCCCTCACAGACTGTAAATGTTGAATTCAAACAGGTCATTACAGTCAGTATCACATTATTTTCAACCATTTGAACTAAAGTCCTCATTTCCAATAAAAGTAAAATAAAATAAATTAAGTAATAATTAACACTGAATTCACCACTAATATTCAAACACTCAGATTTGTTACACAATTTAAGAGGATATTGAAAATACATTTATGTTTTTGGAGCCTGACAATGATCCTGAATAATAATAATAATAATAATAATAATAATAATGTGTGATTATTATACTCTGATGTTCTCAGTTACATTTGACTTTAGTTTCATTGAGACTTTGTAATGTTGAGTAAAAGCACAGAAAATGAGCAGAATAGTAATAAAGGGATGCAGTCAAAGTGCTCCCAGGTTGTATTACACTGTAAACATGTTCAGAGCTGAAAGAAAACTACAGGAAACTTACAGCAAAGCTAATGAACTACTAAAATATAATAATTTATGTCGTCTTTAAAATGAAGAGAATAGAGTAAAATAATGACAGTGTCAGGTTTCACAGAAAACACATAGAAAACTTTTTTTTAGGCTTTATTGATTAGCATTAGCTCACTAGACCTCACTTTACCTCCGACCCTCAAACAGACAACAACCTTTATTTTTACTTATTTAAACACCAACAATAAACAGAATTCAGACCTGTTTTTACTGTTTTATAGATTAAGTAATAGAATAAAGTGATGATACAATAAGATGAATTAAAGTATTAAAAACACGTAGTTACAAACCTTTAGATGGTGGAAAATAACTGCGCCACAAGTCAGAAAACTAAAGTGAAACTACTTCTTTAGTTCCTTGTTTACAATGTACTGTAGTCTGTGGGGAGGTTCTACTGCGCATGACTGGAACACTCAAAGCTGATTGGTTTAGGTGTCAGAAGAAGGAGCAGTCTGTCATTATTTTCCACAGTAACTTTATTGACTGTTGTATTGATCTGAAATCAGTAGATACTCGATTGGTTTTAAGTATTATTGATTCTTCAGTGAATTTGATCATTATAATATTATTATATTTTAATTTAAGTTAATAATTTCCTTACAGTACACAGTAAAGATTATTGTATAACTGTAACTGTAATTATCTGGATCTATGTATATTCTATAAATAGCCTATAAATTACCTTTGATTACATTTACTCTGTATATTTTTGTCCTGTGCAGTTATATTTACTTTTACACTCCCACTGCAGTCTTTGTGCATTGGTAATCGATGTGTATTCAACATTGGACTTATATTGAACTTGTTTTATATGTTGGTGACCTGCACAACAAACCAAAGTCTCCCTGCCTCGGTCTTCATGTTTATAATATAGCAGAGGGAGATGTTTCTGGATTATATTCAACAAATGCTTCCTATTATAACTAAATATCTCATTATTGTTTTACATTAACTGGAAAAAGAACGAAAGAAAAAGAAATCTGCTAAATGTTTTGAAGTGAAATTTGATATTTTAATACAAATTCTGTATATTACATAGAAGACCATCAGAGTTCAAAAGTTCAGTGACTAATAAGATGTTATTTTTTAATGATCTGATGAATAATGAACCTGAATCATAGATTTTCCTCTTGTGTTTGTCTCTTAATGGATGAATCTCTGTTCCAAATGACACAAACGACAGCACAAATGTACAAACAGTTGATTTTATTCTCACAGAATAATCCAACAGAGGGTGCAGTGGAGCATCTTCAGCGTAATAAATGAAGCGGAGGGATAAAAAGGATGTAATCAGGGTGGGAATAAAGTGCAGGTACAAACACTGACTGAGTCACGGTGACGTTACAACAAAAACTCATCATGAATTCTAACTGAGGACAGAGTGAGAGGGCTGCACAGTGAATCCAACACTGTCTTTTCTCACATCAACTCACTGATAGGATCAGTTTATTAGAATTAATGAACAGTTACAAATATTGGAAAACTGCACTGTAACTTCAAACTGAAGCAAACAGTAACTGACTGACATTATTTTACTGAATTAAATTCAATTAAACTGCAGAAATCCAGATATTAAATGAAAGTTTGTGTATTTTTTATCAAACCTGAAGGGATGATGAATAGTTACCTGGAACAGATTCAGATTATTAAAAGAAAATATAAATCAAGTGATTAAATTCTGATATATTATAGGTTAAACTACCCAGCAGTATATAAAGTTAGTTAATTAGCTCCAACTTTACCAGCTAATGTTTAATGATGTTTACAATTCATCCTTAATTATAATCCATCCATAATCATTTTGTATAATGAATATTTAATACGTATGTGCTTTTAGTAAATGAATACTTCTTCCACCACTGTAGCCAACAATTAAAAGTCATTAAATAAAACCTAATTGGCATTCTTAATGAATTAATAATCATTTAAATATTTCAACTGTTTGAAAATGACATTGTATTTCACTTTAATGATATAAACTGAATACAAAGTCTGTGTACATGAAGATCCTGAAGACATTTGTTCAATCAACAGCTAATAATCAATACACACAGAGAGTTATAGTACATACTTTATTTCTCCAATAATCCAAGCTATGGACATTTCCTCCTGCTGAAGACATAGAAACCCAACTGGAAATCTCCATCATCAGAATATCACTGAAAGCTCTGGAAGCTCAGGGTTCAATTACTTTGTTCACTATATGTTGTTTTTTTTCCTCTAACAGACACTAAACCACATTTACACTGAAAACACAGACAACAGCTCGGCCTGGCAACTTATCTTAAGGCTATAGAGGATTATAAGTAATCAATCATTCTTCATTCTAGACTAGAACAATATAGTTCATAAACTGTTGACAGATTACACACTAACACATAACAATTTCATGCACGAGAATAACATTTCATATCAGTGTAAATCATTCAGTACAGGAATAAAAAATAATAACGGAATTTACAGAGAAAATAAAACTTTCAGAAAACAATGTGAGATCAGACAAACTAGTTATTGAACTGCAGCTGCAATAGATTAAATACACAAGTAGTGTGTTTCTTTGTTTGTTACATCTTATTACAACAAGCTCATAACAAAAATAACTGATCATTTATCATGAATAAGCGAAGCAGGATTACAGTGTGTTGACTTTAAACTCCAGGGGAGTACGGTGACTCATCGCTGCCGTTCCTGATAGAAACAAAAGATGTTATTCAAACTGCATACAGTAGAGAAGAGTTAATGTGCAACTGGAGGTGGACAATATGGAGAAATATTTATATTCTGGAATATAAATTATTGTCAAAGCAGTTTCATTTTTTGTTCTCTTTAAGATATAAAATGTAATGTAAAAAGACTGTTTACATCTTTTAAAATCATAACTTTTCCCTGGTTGACCCCTGAGAGTGAACAAAAACATTTATTTGATCAAATGTTGTATTGCTGTATGTATGTTGTAATTTCCTGACACTTCTCACATTAATATTAATCCTGCTCCATCATATGAGATCAATGTAGGACAGCAGGAATATCACAGGGGAGCAGAGGCCCCAACATTTGGAGCTGTTTTAATCTTCAGGACAGTGTTTGATACAAGATACAAGGGACAGAAAGAACAAATCTAAATATGCTGAAAAGTAAGTTTTAATGATGTTCATAGCAGGATCAATATATTACAGAATCTGTGTGAAGGAATTTATGAGGGAGAAGAAATCTGACTCACGGATAATCACAGGTCTGGTAACACGTCTCAGTGGCTGAGAATGATGACGCGTCGCAATATATCTTTTAGCCTGCAGTGAGTAATAATCAAAGTTATGATCCTGAAGTATAAAAATAAACAATACAATTTATTTCAGATATGAAACAATGGTGTGTGGAATAAAGCAACAGAGGTTATCGATGTCACTGTACATTACCCAGAAGCCCTAAAAACAGGATGTTTGTTTACCTGTTTGTAAAGAGACGATGTAACAGAGAGAGCTACATTTTAATGTTCATGAAGGTTTACCTGATAGGAGAGTGTTTTCTCTTTGACATTGATGTCTTCATTTGACTGATCCCTCCTGATGGATGTAGGAGGCTCCTCCCTGATGGACACACTGGATGTAGCAGGCTCCTCCCTGATGGACACATTGGATGTAGCAGGCTCCTCTCTGATGGACACATTGGATGTAGGAGGCTCCTCCCTGATGGACACATTGGATGTAGCAGGCTCCTCTCTGATGGACACATTGGATGTAGGAGGCTCCTCCCTGATGGACACATTGGATGTAGGAGGCTCCTCCCTGATGGACACACTGGATGTAGGAGGCTCCTCCCTGATGGACACATTGGATGTAGGAGGCTCCTCCCTGATGGACACATTGGATGTAGGAGGCTCCTCCCTGATGGACACACTGGATGTAGGAGGCTCCTCCCTGATGGACACATAGGATGTAGCAGGCTCCTCCCTGATGGACACATTGGATGTAGGAGGCTCCTCCCTGATGGACACATTGGATGTAGGAGGCTCCTCCCTGATGGACACATTGGATGTAGGAGGCTCCTCCCTGATGGACACATTGGATGTAGCAGGCTCCTCCCTGATGGACACATTGGATGTAGGAGGATTCCTCCTGATGGGCACACTGGATGTAGCAGACTCCTCTGATGGGCACATTGTATGGGGTTATGTTTTAGATCCTCCTGATGGGCACATTGTATGTAGGAGGCTCCTCCCTGATGGACACACTGGATGTAGGAGGCTCCTCCCTGATGGGCACATTGTATGTAGGAGGTTCCTCCTGATGGGCACATTGTATGTAGCAGGCTCCCTCCTGATGGACACATTGTATGTAGCAGGCTCCTCCCTGATGGACACATTGTATGTAGCAGGCTCCTCCCTGATGGGCACATTGTATGTAGCAGGCTCCCTCCTGATGGACACATTGTATGTAGGAGGATTCCTCCTGATGGGCACATTGTATGTAGCAGACTCCCTCCTGATGGGCACATTGTATGAAGTAGACTCCCTCCTGATGGGCACAATGTATGTAGGAGGCTCCCTCCTGATGGGCACATTGTATGTAGCAGACTCCCTCCTGATGGTAGACAAGGGAGAAAGGGAAGGGAGAGAATATTTAGACATTTTGGCTACTTTCACACTGCAAACACAAGTGACCCAAATCTGAAGGGTTGAAACTGGCACCAGCTGACGCTTCCTAATCACAACTGTTCACATGCCTCAGACCTAAAGAGCTGATGAAGGTTGGAGACCTTGCACATACCACAATGATGGTTTGGTTTGTTTGTTTTGTTCAATTTATGATAGAAAAAGTAACAATGTCTGAATGTTTGCTGAAAATATTGTTTTATGTTCCATCCCCTCGAGAGGCCGTTTTTATCTTTTCAATAGAAAAATCCCCAAAATATGTGATTAGTCAAGGCCCAAATTGTCACACACAACTGTGATGGGAAACTAAACCTGTATGTGCTCAGGTGTGTCCCCAACTCAAGTATTTCATCAGTTAAAAAACATGTCTGTGAGAGGGAAAAATGTTAATGAATGCAGTTTTAATGTTAGCTTACCTGAAATCAATGTACCCATCTATAGTTTTTCTCTCCAACCTGCAGACAAAGACCACCAGAGTGGTAAATCAGATTGTGATCCATCAGCCACAGCAACTGCTGATACACAGAAACTACCAAGTAGACATCAGAAAAGTTCAGTAAAAGTTGATTCTGTTCCCACTGAATGATTTCTCTCCTCTTTTTAAAGTAGTTCCCTCTACTTCTCACTTTAACATGAATTATTATTAGATTATTCTAGGACAACAGGAACATTATGAGGGTTATATATTATTATATTTACTGTTGTTGATCTTCCAGAAAAGGAAGTTGATTTGACTTTATACAAGTGAAATTAAATTAGTGTCAAACACTGACAAACATCAAGTATTTGTCTAAACAGATCACACAGCAATAGCAGCGTGTTGCTAACATAGATATTAAAGTGATAAAGTAACACAATGATGACTTACTGTGGAGAACGGACGTTGGCTGATAATCCATGTCTTAATGGTGACCTGTAGTGCTCCATAGTCAAACTGACTCCTGGCCAGTATGGTCTGTAACACACACACACACACACACACACACACACACACACACACACACACACACACACACACACAATAAATAAATACAGTCTCAGGTTTTACTGATTCCTTTAAAGATTGAGGGCAGTCACCAGGTCTGTAGACAGGATGTTAGAAATAGTGAGGTTGTGAGTGTGTGAGTCCACTAGGGGGGTTCAGCATGCTCCCCAAAGGAAAACTGTGAGGACTATAGAAGGAACAATAATCACTGAGGAAATAAAGTCAGTGTAACACACAGAGGTAAATTCTACCACAGTCGACGGCCCACTGAGTACTAATGGTAAATGGTAAATGGACTTGTACTTGTATAGTGCCTTTCTAGTAGGGGTGTAACGGTATTTGTATTCATCCAGAGACCGTCGCGGTACGGGCGTCACGGTTCGGTGCACGCAGTCATACGACAAATATGTCTGAGTGAGAATAAAGAAAAAGTCGAGTCCTCACTTTAATCCAGGTGGCGGTAATGAGCCTAAAAGCTGCCAAAACCAGTCATTACAGAAGAAGAAGAAGTAGTTACAAAAAAGGACAAAGAAGAAAAGTGATGGAAAGTGTGGAGTTGGAGGAGCCGCTGGCTTAATTTAAATCAGCTGTTTGGGATTCTAGGACAACAGGAACATTATGAGGGTTATATATTATAATATTTACAGTTGTTGATCTTCAATAAAAGGAAGTTGATTTGACTTTAGTGTCTGTCAGTGTGGATACCAGTGAAATTAAATTAGTGTCAAACACTGACAAACAGCAAGTATTTGTAATATAGATATTAAAGTGATAAAGTAACACAATGATGACTTACTGTGGAGAAAGAACGTCCGATAATCTATGTCTGAATGGTGACCTGTGGATCTCCATAGTCAAACTGACTCCTGGTGAGTATGAGCTGTAGCACAAACACACGCGCACACACACACACACACACACACACACACACACACACACACACACACACACACACACACACACACACACACACAGATTTGAGTAAAGATGGTGGAGAGCTGAGTGCTGATCTCTGACTCTTAAACAATTTCCCAGAACAATGTGTAAACTAATAGTTAAACTACATTCAACACTTTAGTTTTACACTGTGATTGTGTTTCCTTTATTGTCTGAACAAAGTTTTTCATTATTGATTTGGCTGAACAACATTTGTGGACACAAAGGCATTTGGCAACTCTTTCTTCAGGATTACAAAAACATTGATATAAAAACATGTGCAGTTAATAATACTTGGTGAGTTAAATACAGCACATAGTGTTAGCAACTGAAGTGTAACAGTGTAGTTCAGCTACATTCATATTTAAATACTGATTCAATTAGTTACATTAGTTTTTTCTGTTTCTATGTATGGATAATTACTGGAACGACAAATTATTTTGGGACATAAAAGGAAAGTTATTTTAAATTTATTTTAACAACTCTGACAAACTGTTGATGTCTTAAACAGAGATTCTGTTCTGATAAGTAAAAATGTTGGTTACCATTGTTTAATTCAGTCAAGCGGTCAAAAAGGTGTGAGTTATGTATTTCTGTCTTCACTGTTTGGTTGTAATCTGATAAAACTAAATCCAGATTTGTTTGCAACTAAAACATTTACATGTCTTACAATTTGAGGAAAGCCCATATGGGACTGACTCATTGTTTTGGTGTTCCAGGAAGCTCGATTGTCAGCTGTGATAAATATTTAGCTATAATGCAGTTTGAAATGTTTTAAAAGCAGAATCGTAAATTTTTATTTGTCTTTGCTGCATGGTCTTTTTCGTGTTGATTTTTTTTTCATTTAAACCACAGAAATAACTGTCAAAAGCAGATTATAGTGTTGAAGTTAAACAAAATAACTGAAATAACTGAAAAAATAATTATTATTTAGCTTCATCACTCTTTCCAAGAAGAAAAAAATAAAGAACACATTTATTTCCTGTTTTTAGACACAAAAAACTAAAGTCTGACCCGTTGTTTTTAAGTTGTTCAAGTTGATGGTATGATGATGGTGATATGATATAATGATACATTGACCCTGAAGATAAATTTAATTAAAGTATAGAAAACATGTAGTTACTTTACCTTTAGATGGTGAAAAACAAACTGCGTCACAGGTACAGGACACACAGAAGTGAAACCTGTTTAACTGTGATAAGACACCAGGTATGTATCCAACAATAATATGAACACAGTTACACCTGATTTAGTTCAACCCCCACAGCAACATACTGACAGGTTTAGACAGACAGATTCTGAAATAGTATACTGATCATTTTAGTAACTGAGTACATTCACCCAAGTATTGTAATCAAGTACAATGTTGAGTGTTTTCTTTTCATTCATGCTGGTCACTGCAACCCAGTACCCTAAAGTAAGACACACACACACATGCAGCAAACCCTCTTTTCCTGTTCCTGCTGTTTGGTTGATATTTAATCCAACAGTTTATGTAATTAGCAACAGTGCACACATGTAATGCAGTCAGTAGTTATAAAGGATAAGACAGGTAATGGTAAAAGATTATACAGTAGAGGGGGAGGGGTGTTTTGTTTCTGTTCAGGGTTTAGTCTGTTCAAACACCCTTTTTAAAAAAGAAACATGTTTTAAAGTTGACTTAAATGTATTTGTAGTTGTTAACATGTTGGATAAGGTATTGTCTTTGTGAATGGTTTGAATGATGTAATTGATACAGTCTTTTTAATAGACGGAGCCAGCAGGATAAAAGGGGGCCTGTGGCTGATCTGGACTGACAGAGAAAGACAGACAAACCCCCACAGAACCTAGCTCCTGCCCTGAGCCTATTTAATGTTTAAAATGAACAACTGGCAGATGTAGGACATATTCTGTAAATAAATGTGGAATAAATGATTGTTACTGAGGTGTGTGTGAGTGCTGGTGTTTCATTATATTATTTTCATATGTTCTACTTTCACTTTCCAACATTTGTGCACACAAAGGTTTTCTTCAGGACCGTTAAGGCTCGACAAACCTGTTTCTGTATGCAAAACAGTGAACGGTTCACTGGCTGCACTCTTTCCTCATAGCATGAAGGTATTCAGCTTTCTCCCAAACCCAAAAGAAACTATTTGTTGATGAAAATCAACCATCCATTTCCCTCCTTACTCTTGTCATTTAAAACAATATTTTCCAACATAAATATTCTGGGAAAGCACAGAAACAAGTGGTGAGGAATACAGCATATTCCACACAACATCTATATATATATTTGTCCAATCAGATCAATAGGGTTTATAATCTCTTCAGCAAATATTTTGGATTATCAGGATTAAAACCTTAGAGGGAATTTAATCATATTATGAAGTTTACGTTCAGATTATTTGTATAAATATGTCAGTTTACAAATGTGTGTGTTTAAATCGGCTGCAATACAACTGATTTATACGTATATACTGCTGGGTAGTTTAACCTATAATATATCAGAATGTAATCACTTGATTTATATTTTGTTTCAATTATCTGAATCTGTTTAACTAATAATGATAATAATAATAATAAAGTTCTGTTCAGAAATGTATTGAAGTTAAAAAGATCAATATAGATATATATATATAGTATATTTAACACTGATTCATCATCCCTTCAGGTCAAGTCTAAAAATCTAATTCAGACCTTCCAGGTATGATCAAAAATACACAAACTTACAATTAATATCTGGATTTCTGCAGTTTAATTTAATTCAATAAAACTATTTGGAACAGAGATTCATCCATTAAGAGACAAATGCAAGACAAGTAAAGTCCTGATTTAAAAATGTTTCCTAAGTACGGTTAAAGTAAAGTAAATGTTAGTATAATGTATTTGAAGAGTTAAAAGTTAAAGTATTGCTTGGCCCTGTGACTGTTATATAATCTGTATTACTGATGCATTAAAGTGTATGTTACTGGAGGGGAAGCAGAACTTATAACTTTTTAGTAATCAATGTTTTACTGAGTTTATTGATATTGGAGAAAATGTATATTATAATAATATAATATAATATTATCTGTGCTCGAGCATTAACCAAAAAATAAAAGCAAACAGAAAACAAGTTTTGCATGAAAATTATTGAAAAGAAAAAACAGCAAATTCTTACATTTAAGAAGCTGGAAACAAGAAATATTGGTTAATCGGTTAATATCGGTTAATCAACTGATCATTTGAACTCTACTTGTATATTATGTTGGGTAAAAGAAATGGTCATATTTCATAAGCTCTTCACATGTGTTGGGTGTAAAACTATGTAATAATCTGAAATGTAGTGGAGTATTAGTACCCCATTACAGTTACTCAAATGTACTTAGTTACATTACATCACTGTAATCCTGTTCTCCATTTCTGTTATCAGAGATTCCCACAAATACACAACTACATGAGTAGACACATGGACAGAGAGCATCAACACTATTTCAGGGAGGTAAACTGTGTCCGACCAGCAGGGGGCGCTGCAGGTCTACCTGCAGAGGGGTAATTGGTAAAGACAGCTAGATA